TATAATGGTGAGAAGTATATCTGCTATACTTCAAAAGTATTAATATATAATCTATTTCTTATAGTTTCTATATTTTTACAGATATTGAAGAAAGTGAAGAAAATTTTAGTGAAATCACAAATAGTAATTATTTTAGTTATTATCAATTGTTGTATAGTTTTGTCATATATTAATACAAGTTAATATTATGCTATAATAAAATATTTGTTTATTTCTAATAGATACAGAAAAGTGATTAACTAATAAGCGTAGTAAAAAAAAAATACCGACTTTTCAATATAATAGTAAGAATTATATTTTAAAAATATTTTATTTAATCTAGTTCTTAATTTCTTATATTTTTTATATTTTTTATAGATATTGGAGAAATTGAAGAAAATTCTAGTGAAATTACAAGTAACAACTAATTATTTTTATTTATTAATAGTTGTTAGTTTTATTATATTATTAATACAAACCAATAGAGTTACTACCAAAAAAACAAAGACTATATGAAAATCAATGTATAAAATCTTATATAAATATAGATAATTGTAATGAATCTGACTAAGAGAATCAAAAATCAAATTCAAATATAGAAACTGACAATGATGACATGATAGAATCAAGGTTAATACCACCTTTACCTCTAAACAAAAAGAAATTATCTAATGAAAGATTATTAGCTAATAATAAAAGATTTAAAAAACTTAATTGTAAGTAATTAATAGATACTGACAAAGTTATTAGCTTAAGAATTCTAAATATTAATTAATATTTAACTAGACAATTAGCAAATTTCACAAAAATCAGATGAACTTCAAGAAATTTTAAGTGAATTTGAAGCTGCTATTTGGTTAGCTAAATACTCACATATACTTGATTTAGCATTTGAGATATACAATACAATATCACAAACTTTAGAAAATTCTCAAGAATCTTCACCAAAATTAAAGTTTTCATTGAGTGATAGAATGTTATTAATTACTTTAGTGCTAGATCAGGAATATATTTGCTATTTTTTTTGTAATATATATATTTTTTTTTGGTATTAAGGTGAGGCCTTGCTCTTTGCTCGTATCTTTATTAGTAATTTAAAAATAGTAACTACATAGTGACTATATAGAAATACTACTATTTGTACAA